TCGTCAAAATCTTGAGTGGCTGCTTTGATCTCAGCGATTGTGAAGTGATGGCAAATATCGGACGGTAACGAGGAGGAGGTTTTTGTGGTAAAGAACTTTGAAGTGAAAGAGAGCAAGTCTTTTAGTTTCCTTCTCTGGAAAATGCAGAAGCTCAGGAGGAGAGAAAACAGAGCAAAACTACCGAGAATAGCTCCAACCATAGGCAAAACTATTGATCTTTCTTCACTTTTTGGACTTCTTGGCAACGGTCTCGGTGGTTGAAGATTGGCGACTGGATCAGGATTTGGCCCTGCTAGGCTACCATCAGTTTGATTCAATTTGAAAATCTCTAAGCCGTTCAAGAAAGCATTGGCATATTCTGCCATTGATGATTGATCAAGATGTAGAACTAGCTGGAGCTCCTTTGCTTTGGCCCCCTGTCCAGCCAAAACGATATAATCTTTATGAATCGGAATCCCAGAGTCGCCGGTCTCTTCAAATACATCTACCTCAGTCTCCGCGACTTGATTATTGATGAATATGTTGAAAACAATATGATTTTTCTGGGTGATCGGACTAAGGAGCTCACAGAAATGAAGCCTAACGAGGTAGCAGAACTTTGCATCGACGGTGAAGTTCCAGGTCATGTTGTTTTTCAAATTAAACCTAGAATCATTTGTCATCATACGTGAGGTAGTGTAAACCACTTTTGGTGCAGTGTACTCCGGCGTGTCTGGGGTATATTTAATCAGTAAATCCGATAAATTATAGACAGTAACCCACTCTGATGCAACCAGATAATCCTCATCTTGATGCCATGTCCGGTACATTCCGGTATCATTCTTGTTCTCAATTTGCTTTCCACCAACATTTTGAGACGGTACCTAGTCTCGAGAGCAGTGGTGTTATCCAAAGTGAAGAAACGGCCACCCTTTGCAAACACAAGTGGGATTTCACTGCCGTGTGCATACAGTAGGCTTGGCAGGGAAACAATTCCGATGGCGTTAATGAAAGCGAAAGAGCCCGGTGATGGGATAAAGGTTACATTAAGCATTTGGCTGTCCCACACCGTGACAACATACTCTTTGATCAAGGAGGCTATAGGAGGAACCATTGCAGGAACAGTCAAAGAAGCACTAAAATTATTCAAAAGGGTATAACTGTTGACGGTGACGGAAAAGAAGGAGGTAGCTGTGTCCAGATCGGAGTATGTTTCTGGGTAGAAGTAGAGACGGGGAATTTTGGACCAGGAAGTACGGGAAGTTGAAGGTAAACTTAGAGCGAATGATAAGTGCAGACCAATAGGGAACGAGGGGAACAGAAGGGAGTTGGCGGGTGGCACGTGAAGAAAACGATACGTTTGGGGTCATTGAAGGGGGAATATTTAGAGTTAGTATCAGCCTCCCAGTTGCGACCATCCGATGATGTAGTGTTTGAAGTTGCACCACAGTTAAGAAGTATGATGTCAGTGGCGTTGTAAGCGGCCGCAGCTGCATACAGGAGGAGGGCATGGAGGCTAGAGATGAGGAAAGTGTTGAGAGATAGTGGAATCATTTTGTAAAGCATGGTAACTCCTGTACTGATATAATCTCAAATCTATCTATAAAGGAAGACATGGTAAGACTCTTCTATAGTAGAACACTGTATGGTGAGACTGATTGAAAGGAAGTTTCATGTGGAAAAGTGTGGCGAAGACCTACAAGTCTTTGGCTGAATTCTATGAGTCCTGGATCAATGAACCCGCCACCCTAGCTAGCTAATACCATTGCCGTGGACTCTTTGGTTGTTTAAGTTCAGATGATAATGAAAGTTCAAGCATTTTCAATCGGAGAAGTATTGCTGTGCTTTTACATTGATGTTATTTTGGATTATTGTAACTTCTGTGATGAGTTCAGAAACTCAAGTCGACCTTGTTTTGACATCGCCTGACTAAAGCATAGCCAACTAAATTGCACTAGCAGCTCAGTTTGGAACTCGGCTATTGACAGGCGCAATCAGCGTTTAACGGCAACAACCAAGTTCCCAAAACCAACTATACTACCGATGGTCAACATGATGATTGTCCGTAACGGATTTTCCTTTTCTTCCACTTACTTGGGATGATTTTATTGATATTTTCTTGAGCAATTTGAAGATATTGAGTCTCTCACTGTGACCATATGTTAGCAATTCTACATCTCATTAATATTATGTCTTGCGTCATACTTAAGGTTTACTGATATAAAATAAACTTGTTGGTCTTCACCAGTAATGGTTGTTTCTTCAATTTTTAGGAGGGTGCCTACAGGCTAGCTTGTGTGCATTTTGAGATTGATTTTTCTTTTTTTTGAGTAATTTTGAGAGGCATTCTCATATAATAATCAGTTTAATACATTTAAAGAAATTAATTTTTTTTAATTCAAGACTTAAAATCATTTTTTTTTTCGAAAGGCAAAAGATTTAATTGAATGAGTACAAGGGGTACCCAAACCCGTATACATTAGTCAATCCCTAATAGAGTGAAGAACCAAAAAACAGTATAGCGTTGGGAGACCCATTTACAAAACCTTGCAGCACCTGGGGTTTAAGATCCAATCAGAGAAGCAGAAATGTACTTCCTTTCCTTGCTCTTGACCCAGAGGAAGGCTTGAGCCTGAACTTGATCGAAAGTCTTTGTCAAATCCATCGATTTACCTCTAAAGATTACCTCATTCCTGGTAGTCCAGATCGTCCAGACAAGAGAAAACCACACTATAATCCAACCCAGCCGTTCACTACTTTTAGTAGCTAAGGATTCATGTTGGATGAAAGAATCCCAACATGAACCAGCAATGGCAGTGGAGAAGCCCCACCATTCGAAGCACATTGACCAGATTTTTATAGTAACTGAGCAATGGAGAAAAAGATGGTTGCTGTCTTCCACATTCCGTCCACAAAGGCTACACTTAACAGCCTCCATCTTCTTAATTAATCCCCTTTTCAACAAGTTGAATTTTGAGGGAATCCTGTCAAGTAGTAGTAACCAAGTGAATCCACAGACTTTGTGAGGAATAAGGGGGTTCCAAATCTTCTCAAAAACTTGTCGGTATGGTGAGGGTTGCTGTTGGACCAAAGCAGTGTATCCTGAGCTTGTAGAGTAATCACCCAACTTATCTCGTTCCCAGGTCCAAGTGTCTTCCTTCCCTCTGGTCAGGTTGGTCTCCTTGAGAAGCTTGTTGATATCTTGCATGGAATCTTGCTCCCAAGAGTGTGGG